CACCTGGCTGACGAAAATTTTAAAAAAATAAAGACCTAATTGCATTCTGAAACAATCTGGACTTCATGGGAACCATACAGTGCAAGCAGCCATTTTACAGGCTCCATAACATTAAATGCTGACAAGTACCTTGGTACCCATTCACATCTGGCTGAGGTGAGGAAAATGTGTGTAAAGTGCCTTTCCCAAAGACAACTATATCGGGCCTGAACTTTGAACCCCTAAACTGACAATCTCATGATTATGAGCCAATTATCATTGAGAACCTTTTTTCTTTTTAGACAAGAAAGTGAGAAATTGAGAACAAAATGTAACCATAATTTTTACGAACTTTACGGTTAGGATGTTGTACTACATACAGCATTAGTCTGACCTGATAGGTAGGTACAGTAGAACATGGTGATAGCGGGACTTGTAGTTCCTAAAGAAAAATCCCGCTGTAGGCAAGTTCCCACTATAGGAATGCAAAGGGGAATTACCAAAAAATTACACACTACATACTCTCCTTTCCTTTTACTGTCTTTTTGGATAGCCTAGGCCTAGGGCACATCACTTTTGGAGTGGCTCACATAAAGCATCTCTCCGCACCATCTCTCTGTGCTGCTTGTCCCACCTCACTCATCACTGGACTGGCTAATCACAACGCCGCACCCCTGACTGCCTGTTTGGAGCCCACCTACAGCTCCCAACCCCAACCCCTTCCCCAAGCTAGAGCTCACTCAATCTCTCCCGCTGTATCCAAGTTCGGGTCTTCTCCTTGCCCGGTTAAACCCTAGCACAGTTAATTGAGTTTACATAAGACAAAAAAAGGGAATTCCGGTGAAGTCCCGCTGCAGAGATAGTCCTGCTGTAATGTGTGCCGTTATAGTCATGTTCTACCGTAACAACAATCAGCCTCATAAAAAATTATCTAAAATGTCTTTGGGGTGCAAAACACATTGTCACTTCGCTAGTAAAAAGGCATAACTCAAGTTATTTTGTTTGGTGGTATTATATCTATCTTTTGGTAAAATCAAAACAAAAATGTGCTGGCAGTCACACAAAAAATGCATTGCAAATGCAAGTGAATTAGATGATAAATGGTCTAATTATACAGGGTTTTTTTCCTTTCACCTCAAAAGCAACAAAACTGATATGTGCCATTTTGCTAGCACAGTGACAATATGATATAAGTAGATAGACAGTTTTATTACAATTTATACATGATGAATATTAATATATTGTACAGAATACACACACTCATGTGGGAGCATTTCTTTATTTCCATTCACTGCATGCACAGAAATTGTAACTCAGTCTCTTGAACAATTTCATCTGGGTGCATGGGTAATTCAAGCAAGATTCTTTGTTTGCGCCTTCCTAAAAAAAACTGATGCCTTTGAGCAGAAATCCCATATATCTGACAAAAGTATTTTGCTCATTCCTTCACACCAGTGGAAACATTGATTCTAAAGGTGCTTTCAAAAAAGACTTGCAGTTGATCCCCACCCACTGAGCTTCCCCCTACATCAATGGATTGATTGACATAACAAGATAATTTGATGAGCTTTTTGTTCATGAAAATATGCTTTATAATAGAAACACTAATACAATGTAATACTGCTTCAAAACGCAAACTTCAAATTATATATACATAATTCCTTCGTAGGAGCCTCTATCAAATATTATGATCTTAAGAAGCTTTGAACAAATTCAACAGTAGATTTCATTACACCCTTCCCCTCCCTTCAAGTGATGGACCGTACATGCATATTTACAGTGTTAATTATCTTTTATCAGTAAAATACAAACAAAAATTGTATTATCAACATCTGATTTGTATTATTATCACAGACAGCAGGAGGAATAAATTTCGTGGATGTACACACTGTGGTATGAGAACAGCAGCAATTTACTCTACAGCTAACTTGAAAAGTTGTAAGATCTGAGAAAACTAGTGAAACAATATTACTTAAATTCAATGTACAGTAGTTCCCTGTGCTGAAGCAGCGGATCATGATAATGATCAGTGCAAAATGACAAGACATCATTCAACTGGCCGGTCATAATGTGACGTTTCAATGCAACTTTCAGTTTTTCATGTAAAACAGATTTTCCTGTTCCAAAACATGCAATCTCAGTGTGAAGGACAGTGCACTGTTAGAGCACAGAGTAAATGTCTGTAATTTAACCCTCCAAGTGTCAGCAGCCAATTAAATTGGCCGTAAGATGGGTTCTGTGCTGTCAGCCGATTTAATCTGTCATAATTTGAGTTGCTGTTTTGGTTTGTTTATCCTATTTTTTTAATATAATTAAACATTTCAACCCCATCACAGATAAGCTCTACTTCCTAATAACATTCTGAAAATGGTTAAGTTTGTGGCCTTTACTTGCTTGTTTTGTCTTTTATCAAGCATTTTCCTGCATGATATCGTGAAATCATAAAATTTCCCCTGATATCACAGATGATTTGTTAGCAACACTTGCAGGTTTAGAGAGAAAAATATATGGTTTCAGAGTACAGATTCATTGGATTTGGTCAAACTTCTAAGGAATCTTTCTGTTCGGATTTTGTTGTTTTTTTCCTTCATTATGATTCTGCTGCACCCTCCGTCTGTCCATCTCCTTCTTCCCTCACTCCAGGGTCTTCTGAATCCTCCACAGCCTCCTCTTTGCTTTCCTCCTTCTCCTCTGCTGGAGGTGGTGGTGGTATCATAACATGCTGAGCTGCTCCAGGCACTGAAAAGAAAAGACATGTATTCTCATTTGATTGAAAGGAGTGAAAATGTGGCTGGCAAAAAGACAGCAGCAGCCTGGAGGATATGGTAGTGTGACAATAAGTTAGAGTTTATGTGCAAAAAAGACAAAAATACCTCTGAACTGATATATATATATACTGTTTTATTTCTTTATTGATGGTTGACTTTACATATTCTTTAGCCTGTTTCAGCAACTCTGCTTTATATTTTGATGCTTGCAAGTTCCAGTGGGTTTTCTTCTTTATACATATTTTTACATTTATAGCTATTCTATGAAGTAGTTCACATCTTTCAACAGCAACATTGTGTTTATAATTCTAAGAAGCTTGCAATTTTTAAGTCACCTGACAATAAAACCCTTTTAGTATAGATTTCAATCCCTGTTGCAACACCATCCTTGAATGACTTACAAACAAACTGACCAAACCAATCATGCACGACTCTATTCTATTGCCTTGCGCGTGAGTTTTTCAATCTTTATAAATTTGTAGGTACTAAACTAATTTATACATACTGAAAAAATATGAATAACTGTGCTTATATGCACTTTTTCACATAGACCACATGGCATCCAAGCAGGCTAAACAGCACCTTAACTATTAATGGTTCTCCAATATATATTCTGCACATATTGACAGATTTCTTCAAAGTCAAAGCCCCTTGCATACAATATGGGCACAATATTTTTAAAAAAATATAACTAACAGTGACCATTGTATCAGGTACCGACCCATAGTATACAAGTCTCCAATATAATGTTAGGCTCTAATGGGCCATTTCAAAATTTCTTAATGTGGGCATGATTTTTTTACCATGTTGTAAAGCAGGGTCAAATGCATCATGATACTAAATGGTGTAAAACTTCAATGAATAGAAATGCTTGAAACAATGACATGAAATTAAGTTGAAGCTATCCTACTGTTGTTACTTGGAACATAAAACAAAGATTTTGCACTACTAACCTTCTGTCACATGCCACTATAACAGGAATTAGCCAAACCTGTTCCTCTGCTCTGTGTTGTGATTCCTTCCGCAGCTTTGGGGCCCCAATGCGTTGGATTAGAATCTCACACTTCACGCACAACTGAACTGAGGCTCTAACTAGCCTTTCTCACAATCTATACTGTCAGCAGGCCTCCTCTGCCTTGATACCACTCTCTCCTCTCCAACTCCCACCAGTAGTAACTCAGATTTTTATCAACTTGCAAACGATACAACTGAACACAGACTCACACTTTACTCACTCTCACACTTTCAGCCAAACAATACAAAAGGCTAGGCCTAACCCCCTGCCACAACCAAAAACAACCAAATACACCACACCTACATTGTATAAAAACCTCTTCTCTTCACTGTTGTGTGGATGTATGCACTCACTTGTGTTGCAGGGAACTGGTTCTCTGTCATTTTTTTTTTACTGGTCTAAATGAGAAGTTATTGGAGATATAAATGAAGCTAGTGCTGTTATTATTCTTAAATTACAGGAAAGACATTATGACTTTGTTAAATCTCTCTTGAATAAACATTTTACCTTGTCTGTGCAAACGTAGAAGGAAACGTTTCAGCAACCAAAGGGTTTAGCAGTTTTTATTCTCTCCTGTATAGACAGGTGTCCTGGCCCACCCCTGCCTGGCACCTTCAAGAACCTAGCTGGGTCCATATAATACTAATAATTAGCATTTGTATAGTGAATAATTGTGCATGTTCCTGCTTGACAGCAAGCTCTATGTTATTGACACTATATTACTACTCCAACAGACACCAGAACACTCAGAAACATTCTCAGATTACCTGGAAGCATACAGTGTAAGCAGCTGATTTAGCGTTCAAACAGTAACAAACTTACAAGCTCATTTTCTGTTTTTAGCTAAGAACCCATTCCCACCTGGGTGAAGTGAGGAAAAGTTGTGTAAAGTGCCTTTCCCAAGTATACAACATTGGCCCCCTGATGGGAATCAACACCCATGACCTTATGGTTGCAAGGTCAAGAGTCTAACCACAAGGCCACCGACGCCACAAGAGATATTTGCATGGAACTGACCTGTATCCGGTATGGGCTTGTTGAACTCGTCTGTCCTGACACTCTTCCACTCCACCAGGCGCGACATACAAGTCTTGTCCCCGACTACCACGTGGTTGGCAAACTTGCCCATCATGCGATGAGCCATGGCAATACCGTACTGCACGCGGTTCACGTTCGTTGAGTCAGGGTCTCCCAAGGCTCTTGAGATGTTGTAGGCTTTGCTGAAGTACTCAGTGGCTTCATCATATGTGCCCTAGCAGATATTAAAAATGCAGTTTGTTTTATTCTCTGATTTTAAGAGACCCATGCTGACACAAAAACAGTCATTTAGTGAAAGGAAAGAGTAAGACAAACACACAGAAATGACAGAAAGAAAGGAAAGAAGTAGGACCTACCAGTGGTGCTCCCCACTTACTCACTCATTGCAGCTCAATTAAACTGACTCATTTGAGAGTTTTAAAGATACACCCCAGCAGAAAGACAGATATTGTCGGTGCTCTGATGGAACCTCAATGACTCAAATTTTGATAAAAATCTTTTTTTTTCTTTTTTCAACAAATAATTCCCAATACCTTGATACACAATGTGCATAAAAAATATTAAATCCAGATTCAAACTACAAGTGCTCGAAAAGGCACTTTAAATTATGCACGAACCTCGCTATCCACCACAACGACATAAGTGATCCCTTGAGCCTTGCAATGCAATATAGCGAGGTCCCATCAGAGATCTGTTCAATTGCCATGGGTCAGTGAACCTAGTTATCTTTGTCCATGGGGTCAATTACTTTATCTGGTTTTTCTGAGAGTTGTTGAATCCAGTTGGCCATTAGGACAATATAAAAACAACCTAGAGTATGTTAAACAAGTGCATTTATAGACAACCCAAAGAAAACGAGGTTAGAATGGAGAAATCAAAAGCCACAAGTTGGTCTGTTCAAATTTCACTAACACCTTAGCAAGGTTCATCGGAGAACGCTTGAGACGGAGAATCTCACCAACCAAAGGATGTTTTGTCGTTAACTCAGATTGTGTAATAAAGTGCTCAGGTAAAACCCATTTTGCAGGATTTTGTCAATGCCCCATCACAATACACAGACAGAATTTGATTGTCTAGAGGTATTAAAAATAACAATGCTAGACAGTTTTTTACCTCTCCAGTAAATTGTATAAAAAACTGAGACAATGAGGTTCAAACAGAGTGCCAATGATGATATATGTGTCACATGAGGATAAGTAATGTATTGTCTTTTCTTGTCTCTTTGTCTTTGTTTCTCAACACACAGAGACAAAGACAAAAACTAACCACAGAGTTGCAGACATTGCCCAGGTTGTGGCAGGCCAAGCAGTATTCTTTCTCCAGACCAGTCTTCTCCGTCAACTCCACAAAGCGTTTCAGAAATTCCACACTTTTCTCTTTGTTACCTTGTCTGAGGGGAAGAAAAAAATTAGTAGAATATTGTCCCTCACTAAACTGCAGGGGCCTTCTTAACAAAGCTGAAATTATTAATCTTTATTGTTCTCTGCTCTCTCTTCGATGGACATATTGGACAGTGGCAATATGATTTAGAAAAAGTGTAGGCCTAAATTGGGAAGTGATCATTTGTACAGGTGACCGTCTTGGACAGGTAGTCATTAGAGCAGGTTCGACAGTACTTTATTTCATGCAAAGTTTATTGATAGCATGGTCATCTTTTTGTATGCAATTTGTAATTAAATGTAAAATGAAGTTTTAAAATGCCAATAGGTAGACTTCATTTTCATCAATCTTAAATAAGATTTCAGACACAAAGTACTTTTTTATATAGCAAATTTTGGAGTTACGGTAGGCAAAACCTTCAACATAAAAACTGAAGTCTGATATTCCACAAAATTCAAACCTTTGAAGTCAACATATAAAAGGGATAGAAAATTCAGAACTATACGAAATATGAGTAACTGTCCTTCTCCATTTAATTTGTAGATAGTAAACTGAAGAGTAGTTTTTGAAAGAGAAGAGGCTCACCTGGCATAAATTTTAGCAATAGCATCACAGGCCCGTCCAATGCCTTCACTATTGCTGTCGCCTTGACAAGACTCATAGAAGTTGAACAAATGCTGTAGGGAAAAAAGGAAAAAGAAGAAAGAAAACATTAATTTACCCTTGTCTGGAAATTTTGATTGCGTTTGCAAGACCACTGCATACACGACAATATTTAAAGATTACATCAATATCTAATATGACACAATATTACTCACAAATACAGATAATATAAAAACATGCCATAGCTACTTGCAAGACCATAGAACCCTGCATACACAAATTCGCAGCTCAGTGAACTGAAGAAAATAGGGTCGACTCTTTCAATGTAGATTGCCACTTAGGTTGCATTTCCAGTTCAGCATTTTCTCAGATCAAAACTTAAGTGGCAATTTTGATTTAGCGTTTTAGCTAATCGCCATTTAAATGGCATCTTGGTGGTACCAATTTTGTCAACCCTAAGATCTACCCCTGGTACTATGCTATATTTACTACTTATTTTAATAATAATAATAATAATAATATTAATAATAATGTAGATCATGTCTATAGCGCCCACTCCCGTGTGAACACAGCTCTAGGCGCTATATATATGCATGTACAAACAATACTCAGCACGCACGCACACACACACACACACACACTCACACACACATTACACGCACAAATGTGCACACACATGCATGCCAAAAACACACGCATGCACACAGACACACACACACACACACACACACACACACACACACACACACACACACACATCTACTTGCTTATCACACACATGCGCTTACACATCGTAACGAAATGAGCACATACAAATTCATAATAAAATAATATACACACTGCCATTCGCAAAAAATATAAATGGATACGTAGTCATTGACATAACATTGCACTGAACAAGAATCTACTAATATAAAAATGATGTCCATAAATGTGTCTTTAAAATTTTTAATTTAGACTCAGATATTGTATGTCTCAAGGGTTGGGGAAGAGAGACATTTTCACCCATACTGTGATTTTCTACTCAATTACAAATAGTTCGAGTGCTCATAAAACAAATCCATAAATATTTGACAGAATTAAAGCTGATTTAAGGTAACACTCTTGGGTGTCTCAAACTGTGCGTAAAATTATGGATCCGTTGTGCATTTGAAAAGTTGATAATGGCCCTATTAAGAGAAGAGAGAGGGGTGGTTCTCCATAATTAGGTCTATAGAAAAAGAGACACATCCTTCTAAGAATTATCTTGTTTTCACAACTAGGAATAGAACATTAGGTGAATTTCCATCTGTGTACTACTCCCCCCCTCCCACTCTTTGTGGTTCCATCTGTCTGTTCATCTCACTCACTGATAAGAAATCTTTACATTGCTTTTTAACACTTCGTAATTTATCTCACTCACTTAATAGAAATATCTTTACATTGCTTTACAACACTCCGTAATTTAGAAACTCTTTCAGAATAATATATCTGGATCGATAACAACAACAACAATCAGAATAAATCTGGACCATGTTCTTGTTTTAGTAGTAGAAAAGTAGTTCTTTTCCGCAGTAATGCCCTTTGAGCTTTATTTTCAATGGAAGAAAGTGCGCTACAAATATTAAAATCATCATTATTAGTATTACATTAAATCTACTAAACTCTCATCATTATCAATACAGTCATAATTATTATCCTCATCATTATTCTGCATCCTAACATGACTTACAGTCAGCGCAGTGTCCAGCTGGTTGTGCTTTTGATAGGCCATGCCCAGCGTGTAGGATGACTCCCCTTCCAGCTTCTTGTCTAGGCCTAGATACACAGAAAAAAAAAAAGCAGTTAAATTTTCAGTCAGTTCAGCATCAAGGCACATTAGTAACACTGATTCAGTTCACTACATCAATTTCGAACATAAAAAGTAGGTCCTATTGAATTGGAATAAGTAGGAACATCACTAGTAGAGAGGAAATATTCTAATTAAAAAACCCAAACTCAGATTTTGAACTTTAAACTTCTGGACTACGGTATAGTTAAAATTTGTAACTTTCAAACACTCAACCAGCATCGCTACTTCGATGACTTTGAGCTTATTTTCATTAATTATTTTCTCATTTCTATGACTATCAACTCACTGCACTTGGCCATTTCTAGAGCTTTGGTGAGGGTCTCCAGGGAAGCTTCTGCATCTTCCTCCTCCCCAGTCCGGCCCAGCTCTGTGCCGATGATCGTGTAGATGTGATAGAGTTTGATGCAGGAGTCTGTGTAGTAGCTCACCCCGGACGACGTGATCCAGTCTTCTTTGTTTTCTGATGCCAACTTGTGATAAGCTTCAAAATGTTTGGCTGCTTCTCCATACAGCCCTATGGAACAAAATAAGCATAAAATAGGTTAATAGATTTACAGTGCATGTTTATGGTCATTTATTCCTCTCAAGGTTCAAACGACTTTACAGTAATTCACTTTGGCCTCGCCTGACGCTTCCAAAATACCATATTGGTCCCCCCCCCCCAACCCCCGCATTGTCAGCTGCATACTTAAATATTGACATACTCCATTTCTACAGATTGCCAAGTATCCATGTGCAGAGAGGTAAACTACGGAAAGCAGGGTCAAGTTATCAAAACATTGGAGATCTGCAGAAGAGAACCTTACAAGAGTGCCTACTGAAAGGTGAAATAAGTTGGGCGGAAGACCTTTTTCTTAGCATGCCCCTTAGATTTGGTACTCCGTCCCAAAAGAAATGTGTGCATTTCATGAAACACAGAATTTAAGAAAAGTCTCCGGATGCAAGACTGTCCTGTGAAAGTAGTTTTTGCATGTGAGAATGTGTGTGTGAGTCTGTGAGTTACTTGCGTGAGAGTGTGTATGGGCCTTTGAGTCGCGTGTGTTTATATTAACTTCTCAGTGTAAGAAGCCATCATATGTGACTTTTCAAAGTGACGTATGGCAGAGTCTCACACTAAGCCGTCAGTGTGTGTGCGTGTGCGTGTGCGTGTGCGTGTGCGTGTGTGTGTGTGCACGCGCATGCGTGCACAAACGCACTCGCATTTTCGTGTGTATGTGTGGGCAGTTAAATGGTCTAACAATGTACTTTTTCTTTCTTTTGATTTGTCAGTCGTATTGAATGGTAATTCTGCACTGTACAGTACATAGAGCCTTCAAAGAATGAGGTGCTATATAAATTCACATTATTATTATTTCAAAAGTTCTTTTTGTAAGTACACAACATCTCATACTGTGAACTCATTACTCCTTTACCACAAGTCTGACATTTTACCTGTCAACTAGTGTCCTTCACAGGATGCTCTGGATAGTTTCAACAAACCTGCTCTTCCATCTCTTCCAATTTTGTTAATTCTCTCTCTTCGCCGGCTGGATCCATAACAACAACAACTGGATCTATAACAGCAGCTCTCTGGGCCAGAGTTTGTCATCCACATCTGCAACTCCTTGAAATATAATCCCATTCACCCTGAGATCAAGGAAACGAAATACCCGGTACGCAAAAAAATAACCAAAAAACCATTCACAGGCTATGCCTACAAGAGCGAGGCTTCAAGCAAGGTAGTTTAATATATAACTTCTAACCCTCCATGAATCATTCCCACTTCCATAAACTCACCATTATTTTGATGACAGAGGCCGACATTGCAGTGCCCCTCAGCTTGCATTTTCCCACCGTCAGTCTCCACTTTGGAAGCAACATTCAAACATGTGGTGAAAAAATGATCCACAAGCCACTGATCATCTTCACTGGCCTTGAAGAACTGAGCAAGGTCATAGCGAGCTTTGTACTCTTTAGCAAAATCACCTGTACCAACAAAATCAGAAAACGTTAAATTTCAGCATTCATTATACTTTGCATTTGGTAGCCTTTAACATATATATATACAGTAGTCTCAGCCTAAGATCCCACTGCTTATGGTCCCGGTTCGCCTAAGATCTTGCTGTTTTGGAAAAACAGAATTTTTACTATATAAAAGTCACCCCTACGATCCCGCTCTGAAACGCACTGAAGGAGCTACATTTGGCTAAGATCCCGCTTTTCAGGTCGTGATTTAGTTGTTTTTTTCTTTATTTTAAGAAAAAAAAAGAATAAGAAACCTGGGCGTGCTCAGCTGATCAACCAAGTAGCGAAAATATGCAATAATTGTATAGCCCGTCACGTCACGGATCATCCACTCTCATGAATGCAATCACACCTCTGTAGTAAATCCCGATACGCGGTTACCATGATTTTGTCCCAGACAGGATCACACCAAGGCGCGAACTCATCAATGAGTTGCTTTCCCAGGTCACCTGAGCAACTGGTTCCTACCTGACACAGTATTTTTTTTTAAAGCCCTACCCCCTTCCTCCAAACCAAAAAAAAGGAAAAACTGACTTCTGAAAAGAAATTTTAGTGCTGAGGAGTCATGTCAGCTCATTTTAAAGCAAGGGAAGATTATTGTACAGATTTTGGGCCTGACCATGAGTTACTGTGGATTCTACTCCCTACCCATTCGGCAGCTAAGATCTTGCATTTTCCTTGCTCCAGAGCACTGGGATCTTAGGTGGAGACTACAGTATAAGAACAACTCGTCTTGTCAAAAGTAGAATATGGAAAACAATGGAAGTCACAATGAAGGCCAAAAAATTGTCATTTGTCAATAAATCAACTGTCTATGTACTTCAAACATTACTTTATTTCACTAAAAATAACACATTAAGATCTGAAAAAATATTTTTTCAAGATAGGCCACTTCTACTTCTCTCTTATTTTCCTACTTATGAGCTAGAACCTTGGGGCAATTGTTTGCGGGGTGGGGGGGGGTGGGGGGGGGGGTAGTGTGTTACACGATACAGAAATAGAAATAGTGTTTATTACATGATGTACTTTACACATGGTTATTTGGTCCATTATAACCACACAAAAAAACTCAACTGAAATTGGGCAGAGAATAAGTATCAATTCATTGTACTTTTCAACTCCCTGAGATATTAATTCCACTGACATAGAAAGAGCAGCATTCATTTGGCAATGTTAGATGAACATAAAATAAAGGTAATCTACATTTCTAGAACTTCACGAGACATTCAAACACAACATAAGCTGTGTATCAGTGCAATCATTGAGTTCAAAATAACAACATACAAACCGATTACTTTTATTAAAATACCCTTTCCTTAACTCATTCGCTACGCCGAGCCGTGGGGGGCGGCGCGGCTCAAGTGCCGTCAGTACGCTAAGCCGCCCCCGGCGGCTCGAGAACCGACGTTCAATTTTAGCTTGGTTTCTATTCCAATCCACATTTCCATGTTAAAATAAAGGTCATAATATAATGTTGACTTCCGGGTCAAGCGTTTCCACCGAAAATCGGAAGTTTTGATTCAGTTTTGAAACATGATTTTGTAGTTCATTCGACTTTGTTTTATCGCGAAGCCCAAATTATAGCCCAGACACCAGTCTTAGTACTTTTACACAACAAAATGTATCATTATTTTGCTCACTAAAGAAGTGTAGGACTCTTCTTTATAATATTGATACTGTTGGACGCAAATTGCCAATGCACTGTAATTGAGAAATCAATATTTTTGAGCGCTAGATCTAGGCCTAGATCTAAATAGTCAAAATATTTTTTTCTCCCCAAAATCACTACTTTTGGGTGATAGTAATCAAAAAGTACCACTCAAGACATGTATAGGTTTATTCCACATGCAATTCTGAATAATTCCATATAAGTTACGCGTATTTTTTTCTGTTTGTGATCCTTTTTTCTAAATTATTAATTTTTTTTTTTTTTTTCAATATCGGATGTTATGATCCAAATGTACAAATATTATGGAATGTATGTAAATAACTGCACATTTTTCAAATATTTTCCTGTTCTATATACAGTTATGGTTATTTTGAGGCATCATTTGACTAGGTGCAAACATATTTTTTTAGTTTCACCTGAGATTATAAATTTTTTATTTTCCAATTTTATCCGCATCCAATCACAATTGTGTTGCATAATCGCCTCTTACAGGAACCAAAGTTGAAGAATACGCAAAAAAATAATGCAGATGTATTCTACAAACCATACTGAAAATGTTGGTATATAATATGTTGATATTTATTTGAATTTATGGCCCCAAAGACCTGTGAACTGCGCACTAGTCATCATCTCATTTCGCCCTCCCGAAAAGAATTCGTCCACAAGCCGAAAATAATACGTAGCGAATGAGTTAACTTTTACATAAAAGTAGCATTATGTTAGCTTTACCAATTCTATTGGCCGCTTCTGCTTCTGTGAGGTGAACTTTCATCATATCCAGTTTCTCAGTCTGATCTTGTAAAACAGGTTTTGTCCACAAAAATGATTCTGGCCCTGCTGCTTCGCGCTTTTCCATTTGCTGACGGATAAGGTTGACCAGCTCACAGAAAAATAGGTGGAAACCTTCAGTCAACATATCTAAACACAGGTTGTGCTTATAAGAATTTCTGAATCTGAAAAAGAGTAAAAATTGTTGCAAAATTAATCACAAAGAATTACTATAATACACTTTCTCTCCTCAATATGTTCTGCAGTTTCTTATAAACACAACAGTTATGTTGTGTAACAATGTGAAAAAGTCCTGGCAATATGACAGGGATTTCACTGTTCTTGTATCAGAACAGAAGTGAGAAGAGAGTTGAGCATGCTTTACTTTGAATCTGTAGTGAAATATATATAACATGTTCAAAGTTTTTGTCTGCAAAAAATGACTTGGAAGTTCCCTCTTTTGTCATGAAAAGTAGTGCACTACAGTCAGATTATACTACTTTCAAAATTCAAAGTATTATCCAGGACTTCCTTTATCTTTTCAATATCAGTACTTTACTTCCAGAATTTTACATGAACTTTGGTGTTGTTTTTTTAAATACAGTAATGGAACTCAATACACTCAACATAATATCAACAAACTTGATTCACTCACTCACTTTTTTTTTTTTTGGTAAGTGTTTTACGGCACTCACAACTGCATTAGGTCATATGAGCACGCGGGACAAATTAAACATTTTCACTTTTCGATTTTAAACCACCAAGGGATCTTTAACGTGCGAAAACTTGTACACAGGACCTCTGAGATTTTTCGCCCTTGTCCGAGAAGGCTAGATGTAGATCTTTCCTTCCAGAAAATCAAGGATGTGGCTAAAAGACAGCAGTGAGAAAGAGCCAAGGAGTAGCAGCAGAAAGGCTGCAGAAAGAATCAGGATCCCAGAGGTGAGGGGGCAAAGGAGGTGTGGGGGTGAGGGCAGAAAGTGGAGACGAAAGCATACGACAGAACATTGCTAGACAGCAGGAAAGAAGGTGAAAGGAGACAATTTTAGAGAAGAAAATTTTTCAGACACTACCCGGATTTCAACCCGCGTCCTTTGAATGAGAGGCGAACACTTTAACCTCCAGGCCACGAGAGCCCCCTCACTCACTTTACATGCATTATAGTTTACAGGTACAATAAAGTTTATCTGATCATAACTACACTTGGTACCCAACACTGCTGTCAGAACCAAGACAAAAACAACTAAAATAACTTACTTGGCTATGTCTTTCTTCTTGAGGATTGGCATTTGGTTTCGAAGAGCTGTGCTCTTCTCCATAGCCAAACGATCTCGCCTTCCTTTGGCATTTGCTGGACTGATGGGCTCAAGCCTGCCTCCTGGAGGTGGCCTGGGCTTTCCATATGAAGGAACAGCATTTCTGTTCTTGTTGATCGGCGGGAGGGTTGCCGCCATGGCTGACAAAAAAGCAAATTCGAAATAAGAGCTACAGGTAAAGATTCATAGTTAAACATGGCTAGCATTATATAAATAAAGTACAAAATATATTACATTAATATGATGAAGATTTCTATAAAATTCCTTTGAAAACACTGAATAAAGCAATTTATACCAAAGATTTCCAGGGTTCATGACAGCATAAGCTGTCTCAATCATATATATTTATATAACTTTAGGTACCAGTATATGGCACGTCAGTCCAGCAAGTGTGCTGTCAGTGCCATTTGCCCTAGACACCATCTGAACTGAATCCCTTTATGTTAAAATCATTGTCATAACAAAAACCCACTAAAAGTAAGAATTATGCACAGTGGCGGTGGGTAGTGAAGGGCTCACGGGCTTGAGCCCCTACCCCCTCCTCACCCACCACCCCCAACTCTATCCCAAAGTAAATGGAAGTTTCTCCAATGAAATAAGCAGTTGAAACCGTTATGACCGCACGCAATGAACACAAAGTGATCAACTTGGCGGCTTGCTCGCTTATCCAATCACTGTTGTCACCGCTTACAACTATAGTAACCCAGCAGCCAATCAAATGTCTTTAAGGCTCAGCGAAGATGAGCCCTTTTCCCACAGCCCGTCCTTAATGAAACTCTTCTTGTAACAAGGTAGAAGACTGGGAAAAAATAACACTGTACCAAGTGCTCACGCTCTCCTAGCCCTGACAATGGGGTGAAAGTTTACGACACACTTCCCCCCACTGACACAGATACCTATGCGCCGAATCCTTCTCAGTCTGAGAAAGCCTAGCTATGCACCCATTGGTTCTTTGTTGGGTGTGTTCAACTTTCTCGACTACACGGCCTAATCCGGCTCAAAAAAGTATTATGTTTGAAGTGCTGTGTGTGCATGTTTGTGTTTGTGCCGCTGAGATTTAACAATTATAAATCAGGTCGTACTACTTTTAAGGCAACTTTTTCATCACACGAAAACTAATTAGAGGAAATTTGGAGGTGAATGAGCTTCGTCCCCACCATCAACAAAAATTTAACTAAGAACAAAGAGATGGAAAACAAAGGCAACTCTTCTCGTATGAATGGTTCTCAAACTGCCGTGGCTCACCGTGAGTATAGAAAAATCATCACTGTTTAGTTCTCATTGCTTGCTATTTGGTGGTAAAGAACTGGAAGCAACCTAAGCCCCTCACAAATTTTGGTCCACCCACCGCCACTGATTATGCACATACTGACGATCAGTCAGTTGTTTTCTGTTCAGGTCAGATAGTGCCAATCCTACTATATGACCTTCATGGTAACCCGCAAACTACATAAAGTCATTTCTAAAATGGGGGGTTCAAGTTTTCTTTTACCCCAAAATCTACTAAATCACAGCCAATCCATGTGACTGTAAATGAAATTGGATAGTTGAAACAAACAAATATAAAACTAATTCAAGGTAAATTCAAATGAATAAAACCACTTGTTGCAATGTTTGAAGCACTTATCATTGATGTAGTGGTTAGATGCTTCATCGTTGCATGCACCAGAAGCGAGTTCAATTCCCAAGTGAGAAGGTTTCTTTACTGAGTTTCTCCATCTGTCTGCTGGAATGTCATATACCTCAAAGCCAGGCGTTGAGAAATTTATTTCTTTTGTGCTCCGTGGCTGTTTTTATCTACTTGCATTTATTCAAAATTGCACATGAAAAACAGGTATTATTTATTGCATGGAATATTCATTTCTTCTTAGCATGTTTGTTTTATGCTTTTATAGGTTAAATAGGGGTGGAGGTATAAGAACATTTGTGATGGATAAGTCAATTAAAATTGGATGACAACATTGGCTCAAATATGAAATGGCCTTCCGTCTCCATATATATATATACCAAAAGCTAAAATGGCACAGTCTACTTAATGCAGTCCAATATAAATGTATGGAAATCCACATTTCCATACCCAAGAAAGTAGTTAAGAAAATGGGATTTACATAGAAATAAGAGCAAACCTGGATGGGAAAGTTCTTCTTCTCCTCTTTGCATTCCCCTGCAAGATCTTAAGGGTAGTCAACTGCTGGTACTTCAACCTGCAGTGCAACTAAATTTTACCTATGTGACTGTTTTTCAGTAAGGGCTGCCCCATTCTGATTTTATGCTTTTATACTGATTAGAGTATTTTCAGTTTTGGTAGGAATTAATTCTAAATTTTGCACAGATGGCGGTTTAAGCCTACAGTTATCAGTTTTAGGAGGGATCTTTAATTTAACGAGCACACCATGCATACAGGATCTTCAAGATTTTTCGTCCTTATATCAGAGATAAAGGCTAGGTGTTAGATATTACCAACCCTAAGATCAGGGGCATGGTTAAAATACAGCAGTAAAAAGGAGCCAGAAGTAGCGTACAAAGAGTGATGAGTAAAATAGAGAGGAGCCCAAAGGAGGGAGCAGAAAATGTAGATGAAAGCAGGTGACAGAACATGACTAATGAACAGCTAGAAAGGAGGTTACAGGAGAAAATTTTTAGAGAAGAAAATTTTTCGACGTAGTCAGGTTTTGAACCCAGGATCTATTGAATGAGAGACAAACACAGACCTCTAGACCACGAGAGCCCCCACTTGTTACATTTCAATAATTTAAATAATATGCCTCAATCAAGGCAATATTTTAGCTTTTAAATAACAAAGTAACTATTTCTCTGAACGTTCAGGAAAATAAACTTGCACTCTATTTCTCCGAACGGTTTCCATTCTCAAGATTTTTTGGTTATTTGCGAGATTTAGGTGTCATCTTTCATTCTGCCATTCTGCAAGGACTGGGAAGAAACATTTTTTGCATAGAATTCAATTTCTAGAGCTAGAGATTTTTAGATATCTGAATATTCAGGTACAGTCGAACCTGCCCTGACGGCCACCTGTAGAGACGGCCACTTTCCATTTCCCCCCTTGCGTTTTTTCTATATAATTTAACTGTGTAAAACGGGCACCTGTCCAACGTGGCCGCGGCCACCATATAACACACGACCCCTATCACACTGAGCAATAAAACCTGTCTTAGACGGCCACCTGAGTGACTCCATTACGTTTTGTCATAAATTGTGCATAGGCCCCTGGTGTTGTGGGCGAGCCGTCATAATCCAATCACCTGTCGTTATTGTTAGGTAGTCCCTCCAACCGATCATGTTGCGTAGGCCCCTCCCACTGTTGACCAATAGGTAACAAATTTTCAGCTGCTTAGGAGGTAAGCGTGTGATACCGGCATAACCCATAAGCCCCACCCAGAACTCATACACAAATCGTAAGTGAGATGAGAGGTCACTGTTTACCCAGTCAGTAACAAAGTAACAATGGACGTCAATATGAACTTGTGACAGAAGCATCCCTTGTTCTCTGAGCGGTGGCAACCCGTGTGTTTGTTTCACCATAGCACTCGGTCCATTTCGTTTTATTGTCATCCTTGCACAAAAACAGCAACAAAAGAACCCCACCCAGCGAAAACATCAACAACAACAATATCAACAACAACAACAATTCGGCTACTTTCGGTTGGGACCTCAGAAAGGAATGGTTTGTTTTCTTCATTTTGACCAGTCCTGCCTAAGACGGCCACCTGCCTTATACGGCCACTTTTCTCCTTGACAATGGGTGACCGTCTTACACAAGTTCGACTGTACTTCAATTGTAGTTGGGGCAACGTTCCCAGACTATTCTTCATTTGAAAATGCCTTCAAAAGCAGCGGCGAGAAAACAAAACTGCTCGACTTTGGCAGTAACCTATTTTGCATTTAGTCACCCCTAAAACAAAAACTGTATCACAAAAAATCCCTCTACGCGCATATACCCCCCCCCCCGCTCAACCCCCCCCCCCCCCCCCCCCCCCCCCCCCCCCCCCCCCCCCTCCCCCTCCCCCCCCCCCACCCCCCCCCCCACCAAAGCCCCACGCGGGCGGGGGGGGGGGAGCCACTCCATTATTAAAATCTCGAGAACGGAAACCGTTCAGAGAAATAGATCTAGAGTTCAAGTTTATTTTCCCGAACATTCAGAGAAATGGAACCTAGAGCCGGCCTTGAACTTTAAATAAATCATTAATTGTAGGCCTACTTGACACTTCTCTACATTGCATAGCTGTGTGCTGTTTGCCTTTACATGCAACTAGATCTAGCTAGATCACTGACACAAACAGTCTTATCTCATAGCCGAAACGAGGAAGAATGACTTAGATCTAGTTTGCAGTTTGTAGTTGATATAAACATTATTCATTATCATCTAACAAGGCACAATCACAAGGCCAACATCTTGTTTTTTTTCTCTCGTGTTTTGATCCGGTACTCAATAGAGAACAATGCAGTAAGATATAGGGGCTTAAATTCACTGTAAACCATAAAAAGTCTTGAACTACACATCAAACCATATAAATACTTCACAGAAGTACCTGATAATAAGTGTGGCTTGGTTTCAATTCATTGAACGAAGCTGCTGATCAACTTCAATGGCGGACGTCAGCTTCAGTCGTTGTTATGACAGCGACGACTCGGAGTGAATAAAATATACCACTGATATCCTTAAACTTTATCAAACAATAAGGTAGGTATGTTTTTGCCGCTGCTTTTTGTTGTTTTTGCTGGAAACACTCACCCTTACACGTAAATATACCTCAATACAATAACGTTTGCTTTATGTTGACTGTTGACAGAGTCGGTGCGGAACCATGCTGTAGGGAAACATGGCTGCCCCCTGAGTGCCAGCCAACAACAAAGGCCAAATCTGATAGCCTAGGTCTACAATTTTCGTGGAAAGTTTAAAGGGTCCACGACTGCTTCTTGGCAATCTTGGACCTAAGGTTTTCTTTTTCAGTTCAGAGTTCAAAGTGTATTCTCAATAAATAGTCAGGTAAGGATGGGAACCAGAAATGTATAGATTCTAGATCTATCACTGTGAAAGTTCTTCCACTGAAAGAATGGGGAATCGAGAACTGAAGTCGTGACTGAAGTTAACTGAGATTAACTCGTAATTTTATAGTTCGTAGAAAAAGACAAGTCATTAGTTTAGTAAATCACAGATCTAGATTCAAGATCTAATTCTATATCTCTAGATTTTATAATTTATATCTAGATCTGTACGTAGTGTCAAAGTACTTGCAGTGGCGGTGGGTAGATAAGATTCTAGATCAAAATAGGAAGAGGAAGAGGCACATGCGATTAAAAGTAGAAATGATGCAAACTATTTTTAGGTAAGGCGCCCATCTTGTTTGACGTCAGACCAGGATACCCCTCCGATCACGTGACTACATCTAAGTATAGACAACCGCATGGCACCAAAGATGGAAGTGTCTATGTATATTATGCTTATTAATCTACACAAATTTCTCGGAATTTTTGATAGCTGATTTGATAGCGCGTCTGCGTTTGATGTCGAGCAATGACTTTTGGAGCGGTTCGATTCAGGTCCCGGACAGTTTTTTTTTTCTCTTTTCCTCCTCCCGACTGACCAACAGTTCCATAAATTATAGGCCTAATTTTAAAAATGTATTAGTGATTAAAAATGCAGGAGGGGGGGGGGGGGGGGGGGTAGATCTAAGTTTAGATATCTAGATCTAGATCTAGATATTATCTAGTCCTCCTGCGTCTTTACGGCAATTTTCGTGCGGTCTTCCATCATGTCCAGGTAGGCCTAATAAATCTAGATCTAGAATCTAGATTTAGATCTAATCTAGAATCTAGATCTAGATCTAGATCTAGATCTAGATTCTAGATCTAGATCTAGATCTAGATCTAGAAAATCCGAAATGTTACCGAAAACACGTCGTTCCATGTTTGGGTATCCCAGGAAGTGATGACATCACATTACTAAAATAAGCAGCCAATCAGAAAGATGCGTCATTTCTAAGTTTAACGGCATGTGGAAGAGGCTAGCCGTACTTAACCCTTTCGCACTTAGCAGGCTTGGCCAGCTGTGGCCCCCCATCCTTAAGACAAGGGCAATAACTCCACGAAAATTGAAGGGGTACCTTACTAAAAAAATTGTATAAAATCACAAACACAACCCAAAAATGATGAAAATGTATATTTTCTGAAAGGAAAATGAATGAGCTAAATTACTAGTTAGATCTATATCTAGATCTAGATTAGAATCTAGATCTAGAATCTAGATATAGTACAAAATTATAAGTGGAATAGAAGAGTTTGAAATGATATGAGAGGTATTTCTGAGGGGAAAGTGGCTATTCTCACCCGCCCGGAAGTTCTCGCAAGATCAACTCCTCCCCTCTTCTCTCTCTCTCTGTCTCTTTCTGAATACTGTCTATCGGTGTGGACGATCAAATTGACCAAAACAAAGTTAAAAAATGATGTTAAAACACAAAAGTAAATTAATTTGGTTGTCTACAAAGATGCTACGGCTATTTAACTTTTCGAATCGAGCCGAAAAAGGTAAAATTGAAGATTAGCAGACCACCTGGCACCTGCATATTATGAGCTGTGTAAAAAAAAAAAAACGATTCGTTCAAATACACAAGCCTGTGTCATCTCGATTGTTTACCAAGAAAAAGTTGTGTTGCTGTGTAGAGCTGAGCATACGGCAACTTTTGATTCCATAGACCAGCGCACAATTCATTACGTAGATCTACGTCAAGATTAGCTTATTATTGTAATAATGATCAGTTGCCAGGGGGAAAAAGACTGACGCGTATGCGACGTTCAACACCCGGACCGATAGTGCCCCCCCACCCCCCTCCCTGACATGCACAGCCACATGTGTGCAGGCCGCCCATCTGACCCCGACACACGCTAACGAGCCATCTTTAATTGCTTCTGGAGCTTTTGCCAAAAGGTGGGGGTGTTTGCTTAAGGACTTTTTAAATCAACCACTACTCATGGTAAAATATGTTTTCTTCTGAAAACTTTATGTATATGGCAAGGAAATAAGTTGGTCAAGCTGCATGAGCAAGTAGATTGATGTGTGCATCTTATATCTCTACATAGAAAGATAATAGTACTAAAAATAGGGCATTTTTTACTCATCCTGAGTGCACACATAATTGTATGTTAAATACAGAATATTGTTAATCTTAAACTATCAAACAGAAGTGCATTCAAACATTGAAAATAGTTTGTATACACCATCATAACAGCGTGTGTCCATTAAAAGGGTTTTATTTTTTTATATTAATGATGTTATTGCTGAGTAAAATTTATAAGTTCGTTCATAACTCGTGTCATAATTACATCATCAGACTTTCCAAGGTCTAGAAAACCCAAATCGTTTAACATATCATCCCGGGGAATGACCGGTATTAAACATTGGTTTGACATTGATCCATCAGAAGGGTAATTTTCCGCTCCATCGCATGGTTTTGCTTAAATATGACTTTGATTGAGATAATCCAGGTTTGTCATAATGATGTTATGAACAAACACTTTATGATATTTCTGCAAAATATCATGTGAGGGACTTCCCACTGTTTCACAACATCCTTTTACATGGTGGAATGAACATGGAAGAGTATCGTGCTGATGACTCAAAAGAGACGCGAAGAAGAGGCAAAAATATGCTTGTCATAATGGATTGTCATCATGTTATGAACGTGACGGTGTGTCATAATGGTTATGAACGAAACCTTATTCCATGTAATTCATAGTTGTTTTGGGATGTATTTTTAATTTTAACCCAACTTGAGGATGTATTAGACCTTGCTTACATTCTGATATTTTGATTTTTATCATAAGTGTATGGGTCTGGATTTTAATTAGTATTTTACTTTTGTAGTAATGGTTATGAACGAACTACATATTGTACTCTGAGGGCTTTCCAGAGTTGATAAACATTAAAAACATGTACACAGATACATATTATGAGGAAACTTTCATTTAATATAAAATTTTAAAGTAAATGACAGGTCAAAATATTAATTTTTAGGTCAAAACTGAAGTTTGTCATAATAGTTATGAACGAACAATTAAAGGTATTCTAAGGGTTTTTCAGTGATTAAACTTTGAATTCTTCCCACATATAACCTTATTTTGAGGAGAGTCTCATAAATTAAAACAATTTTATGTGAATGACAGAACAATAAGTTAATTTTTTGGGCCCAAAGTAAAATTTGTCATAATAGTTATGAACGAAACAGTGTGTCATAACGGTTATGAACGAAACATTATTCCATGTAATTTACAGTTGTTTTGGGATGTATTTTTAATTTTAACCCAACTAAAGGACAGAATAGACCTTGCATACATTCTGATATTTTGATTTTTATCATAAGTGTATGGGTGTGGATTTTAATTAGTATTATACTTTTGTAGTAATGGTTATGAACGAACTATTTATAGTCCATTTTATATATTTTGAGGGCTTTTCAGTGTTAACAAACTTTAAAAACATGTACAGAGATACATATTATGAGGAGAGTTTCATTTAATAAAAGTTTTAAAAAATGAATGACAGCTCAGAATGAGTAAATTTTTAGGTCAAAATTGAAGTTTGTCATAATTGTTATGAACGAACCATTTTAAAGGTATTCTAAGGGTTTTTCAGGAAATAAACTTTGAATTCTCCCTACATAGAGGAATCTATCATATTTTAAGGAAAGCCTCATAAATGAAAACCGTTTTATGTGAAAGACAGAACAGTATAAGTAAATTTTAGGGGCCAAAAGTAAAATTTGTCATAATAGTTATGAACGAAACAGTGTGTCATAATGGTTATGAACGAACTTTAAATTTATGCATAATATGACCTAAGACCAGTTTGCGTTTAAAAATAGCTGTTCAATGGTCTTCCATTTATCACTTGACTATAATTAGACCAGAGTGTTATTTTAGACAATTCTAGTCGATGAAACTTGATATAATCGATAGTATTTTGGTCACTTATTGTTCGTTCATAACTATTATGACACAAAAAAGTAATTTTATCAAAAATTAATAAAGATTTTTATAAATTGTCAATTCTATGTATTTTTGGAAGTTATTTGCTATGTCTCAAAATATAACATCAGCCTAGCTGAAAAAAGGAACTTTGAGTATTCATAAATTTGTGTCATCATTGTTATGAACGAACTTTTTGCTATTTCCGTCATTCAAGTCAGAATTACACCAAGACCATTGCATATACAGCTTTGGCAGTTACTGAGTCTGAAAGAGCAATCATTAGGCTATATAATATGGGTGATTAAAGAATTATTACATAAAGTTGATTTTGGACCTCATTTGTCACACCCTGGTATCCCACCTTTTGGCAAATGCTCTCTGATGACCTCTTGACAAATAAACATTTATTAAAAGCGCTATAACTTTTCAGGCCGGCCTCAAATTCATCATAAGATAAAAACTCGGCTCCTGCACAAAACGCCTTTTTGCCCGAAGTAATCCCGGTCTCTACCCAGCCTGAGGCGAGTCACGAGTGAGGCAGGACAGGAAGCCGGAGTCACGAGTCACCGGAAGTCGGAAGTGATGTCATGCTGGACAAGAATCAGAGTCCGAATAACGTTTTTTCATATTCGGACTCGAGTCCGAATAGTCACTTCGATTTCTGAGATGCGTGTCTTGGATTCCGAGTTTAGGTCTAGATCTAGATCTCGTATACATTTCTTTCTTTGGGTGTTTTTATTTTGTTTCTGCTGTACTCATATTGGGCAGCTTTGCGCCCATGCATCCTAGAGACATGATGGCGTGTTTACAACTAAAATCTCCTCCGACTTTTGTTCCCGCTCAAAAAGTCAAAAAGTGACTCTTTGTGCTAGCGAAACAAGAAAAACACCATAGTAAACCGGAACTCTTCCTCTATAAAGATAGCTAAGTGAAACTTCTGATGATAGTAAAAGTAGAAGCCTCCCGCGGCAACGAAACAAACACCCCCATGGCGGGCGCATTCGGGCGCTATAGGGATGAGTGGGGGTCACCGGCGCGGGCGCATACGGGCGCTGTAAGTGCGAAACGGTTAATGACGGCTAGACTGGTTGGCTAGCCGTACTTATTTTTAATATGGTGGCTGGACTGACCATAAAAAAAAAATAGGCCTACTTAATTGTAAATATAAATTTTTAGTTTGCAGTACCTAAAGTATTTGTATTTGAGACTAAACCAGGTGCCTTAATGACAATGCATGTATTTTAAACCTCCTGTTTTCTAATGTTAATGGGGCCTAAGATATAAGTACGGCTAGACTGGCAGTCTAGTCGTACTTAAGTACAGCTAGACTTCTTGGCTAGCTGTACTTAAGTAGGGGTAGACAGCCGGGCTAGCCGTACTTAAGGACGGCTAGACTGTCAGGCTAGCCGTACTTATATTGATGGCTGAATGGTAAATGAAATTTTTAGTTTGCAATGCCGATGCCTAAAGTATTTGTGTTTCAGACAAAACCAAAAGGTGCCTTACTGACTTTCATGTATTTGAACCTGAATAATTACTAAATCTAGATCTAATGAGACCTGTGTACTTCACAGGTTTGAGTTGATAGGGCCAAACCTAGATCTAAGTACGGCTAGCCACTTCGATCAAAATATGGTTGGGAAGTCTTCCCTCCTAAAAATATGATTTGGAGTTGGATAGTGAAAGGGGTGATCTTGTAGCCGTTCGTTAAAGTCCATGATCCATTTGTTTACATCCAGAGAAGAAATCCAGAAGTCTTGATGACCAAATACTTTTTGAAATAGAGGCTACACAAAGAGCAGGGATGCAATCTTATGTGCAAAACATCAAATGTGAGGCAGCGTGGTGGAATCAGGCTCTCGTCAAAATAATCAAAGTGAAGAAACGCGCATTTTCCGGCAGGTTTGTGAATTTTTATCAAGTATAGATCTATGATTTTTGGCCCAACACTTTCAAGCCCATTAAAGAACTCATCTGTGTGGATTTTTCTGAAAAACGTTAATTAAGGGCACAACAAATGTAAATTTTAATTTACCATGGACTCTTAAACTAAGGAAATAACTAATCTTTGGCGGCCATTTTCTCCGGAATTTTACCTCTGAAAACAGGTGACTCCCACCTTCATTCGCAAATATCTCGATTTGTATTCAAGATAAATGGACATTTTTAAAATCCAAATAAAGACAAGTGAACAACTTTAAGATGATACCAATAACTCTACATGCCCAAAAATTGACGAGAGCCTGATTCCACCACGCTGCCTCACAAATTAGGATAAAACCCCCCCACCTCCATATTTTTATTAGGTCAGGGGGGCTTCTGAAACCCCAGTACTACTCTTGACTTTAACAAACAAAACTACAAAATCACCTGAAAGAGTGTGGTGTGTACATTTTAACGGAGTGGCTATGGGTACGGCTCTCCCGTATGCATAGCATTGAGGCTATGTGTACGGCCCTAGGCTTTGTAGGCGGCACATAAACTATCAAACTGGACACTACAAGTGGACAAACTTAACCTGGAAGCACGCAGGCCCTATATAAAGGGCGTGAGCCGGGCTACCTGGGAAGTGCGCAGGCCCTATATATATAGGGCTGACCTACTTTGACCGGGAAGTGTGCAGGCCCAATATAAAGAGCATAGACACTGACCTTTTTCAATGGAAAATTTCAGTATTCCTCATATATATATATATATATGGAAAATGATGTTGATCTAGATATCTAGTAATGAAGTGACTATTCGGACTCACTCGAGTCCCAGGAAAAAATTATATTTGGACTCGTGTCTGATCAAGGCGAATATTAATAATAATTGGCAGGTCTCTGGGGGCCGCAAGAGGGCCCCTGAAGCCGAAGAAAATTTGCCATTGAGGAGCTGAAATTTGGTCCCTATCTGGGCTTCAATAAAAAAAAAAAATTTTTTAATGGTTCGACTCACAGTCCTAGGAAAGCCACTATTGAACTAAATTGGTAAAAGGAAAAGTAGGCCTATTCTGTTACTATACTTTGTTGGTAAAAGCTCCTCTTGGGGACAATACCAGAATGTGCATGATTCATCACCACATAAAAAATAAAGCAACAAATTATAATTTTATGGGGGAAAAATTGTAGATCATTAGGAAGGAGGAGAAGAAGAGGAGGGACACCCCCCCCCCCCCCCCCCCAATAAAAAAAGCTTCCGTTAGCGGGGTTTGTTCCCACACTCATGAAATAATTGCGTGACTTCAGACGCAAACACGCTGCCCATGCAGCTATCAGAACTGCCGACAGCCAGAGGTAGATTAAACTACATATTTATCTCACTGTTTCAGGAACGGGAACACAGCATAGATCAAGATTTAGAGATCTAGTTTTCCTGGGCCTCTTTGAACATTAGCAGACCACCACTAGATCTAGATCTACTCCAGTAGAAAGGGAGGTGCCTGCTAAAGTCACAAAAATAATAGATAGATCTAGGATCTAGATCTAGATAGAAAGCTTGGCAAAAGATCTAGCTAGATCTAGTTTGCAACAGTTTTTAGTGCCAGGTGGTCTGCTAATCTTCATTTTTACCTTTTTCTACGACGAAGAAAGTGGAAAACATGTGGGGTGGGGGGGGGGGGGGGCGTATCCATGAGGCGGCGGGCATCGGATCGGCCTAGATTGAGTGGGGGAAACTAAAAAATGGCGGAAAATTGGAAGCACTGAACGTTAGATCTATAGAACGAAGACACTTCCTTTTTTTCCAGACCCGAGTCCGAATAGACAAAAAATCTATTCGGACTCGAGTCGGAATATATAAAAATATTATATTCAGACTCAAGTCCGAATAGAAATTTTGTTATTCGGACTCAAGTCCGAATATGAAAAATTATATTTTGACTCGAGTCCGAATAGAGATGGCCATCTAGTAAATTACAGGTCAAAGTCATAAATAGTGACCAATGACTTTGCAAGTTATCTTGACTTCGTAGAGCGTCTTTTTGCCAAGATATCGATCGATTAAGTAACGCGGTCCAGCCTAAGATCATTCATAGCTAGATAGTTCACTCCTTTCTTTGAGTCAATTAAAAGAGTGTCCATAAAATCCGGTGGCGTCTGCTTTGAAAAAGAGCGGACTTTGGAAACAGAGTTACCCTACTTGTGTGAAAAGCAATAAAAGTGAAACTAACAAACTGTGCGAGGCCTATTCCTATTCTTCATCTGGAGAAACGAAAGAGAGCTTCAAAACAAAGACTGCAGTTGCAGAGCCTATTTCCGCAGACACTTTTTTGGCTGAGTGAACAATCTTGTTATTTTCGTTCTTTGGTCCTGCTGAGCAATTATCAAGGCTGTGAGCATGCCTAAATTAGATCTAAATCTATACTTTAGAGGGCCGTGTGTAGGGAGAGCCGTACGCATAGCCACAGGCTATGTTTAACCTGTAGGTTAGATTATTATTGCCCCTCTTTCACTTTCAGTCTCTTCTTCACAGTCTACTCTCTTTCATCTTTCTCTGTCTCCTCAATTTGGAATTAAGTAGTTATTTGACTTAACTTTTCCCCTTTAAAAATGCAAAGGCCTATAGTCCTATAATCGAACCTGCCGTGACGGCCACCTGTATAATATGGCCACCTGTGCAAACCGTACAAACAGCAACTTTCCATTTTCCCCCCTTGCGTCTTTTCTTATAATTTCACAGGCACCTGTCCAACGCGGCCAACAACATCCTTAATCAACCAAAATTACCTGTCTGAGGTAGCCACCCAAATATTTAATCGCCCAACACTTTATCAAATTATAAATATTTTATGTTTTGGCCCCTGACACTGACACTGTGGACGAGCTGTCATAATCTATTCACCTGTCATTATTTGTTACTCCCTCCAATGTCCAATCATGTCCCACTCACTGTTGTTTACCCAAGCTGACCTGTACAATACAGTTTCAGCTGTTCTTCCTCATTTGATTCACTCTGTAGAATTTAACATTATTACAGCCGTCATGAGACTTTGCTCTCTGCGGAAACGAAAATGTGTCTCACATTCAAATAAATCCAGCTGTTAATGACGGCATCAATGTAAAAATATAACTCATGTCCTGTTTTAAAAAACAACCCCCTTTCCCTTAAAAAAAAAACAATAACTAAAGCCAGAGAGACAACCCCCCC